ATGAAGTGCCATTCTGGTCGACCGGCAGTGATAGTATGATACCACGTTCGAAACCGTACGAGCTTCCTCTGAGGTAGTCAAAATCGGCAGGAAAAAGTCAAACCTTACTCTTAGCTCTTTTAGCACCGCTAGAGGTCGTCGACACAAAACGCTAGTTTTTTTTTAAAGTTAAGTAAAGCAACATAACTTGATTCATGGAGACTGGAATTTGGGCTCAACTCGGAAAAAGAATCAGAAAAACATTTTTCAAAAGATGGTCGTGGTTAAACCAGCAAAGATGGTCATGGTTAAAGCAAGAAAATTGACAATTTTTTTTCTCTAAATTTTCTGTTCATTTTTAGAAACAGGCGATTGAATTGGGTGAAAAAAAGAAAGTGTTGTAACTATAGTTAATAAAACAGTTAACGTAAAATTTTAGCAGAATAACACTTAGGAATCAAATCTTCTTTTAACTTAGTCTCAAAAACGAAACAAAAATGGGCCTTGTTTTCGACAGACAACTTAATTGAATTTTTTGGAATAAGCATAACGACCAGTAAGCCTCAAAAAATACCTTTACGACTTTCTTTGAGGTAGTCATAATTTGCTGAAAAAACGGACTCTTATCTAGTTCTTTTCAGCCACTTTCAGTGACTTTGTCAGAACAGAAAAATTGAACATCATAAATTGATCCAATACTTTTTCCTGAACAAAAGGCACACGACATAAATAAATTCAACCACATCGTTCATTCATAATTGCTAAAAAATAGTTTTGCGTGGTTGGTTGTAAGATAATAATTTTTGGTACTCAGTTTGTAATATTTAAGTTATCTCGAAGATGAATATATTTATGTGTGCTGTTTTTCAGAAAATTTTTCTATCATTTTTGTTTTTCTATCAAGATGAAACAGTCAAGTCAAATTGCAAAAAAAAACTTTCTGGAAAGTATAATTTTTTTTGGAAAATTGTTTGACTTACATCGAAAACAATACGTCATACCATCAACTTAAAGCGATTTTAAAGTAAATACACACCAAACTAATTTATCTCAAAATAATTCTGTGCAATTCTGTAACAAAAAAAACATACTCAACTAACAGTTGGAAAAGAGTAATCAAGGCTGGCAAACAGAACCAAAACCTGACATAATTTTGAAAAACTTCAACTTTTGAATTCTTAAAACATATAAATTATAAAACATATAAACAAAAATGGGCCTTGTTTTCGACAGACAACTTAATTGAATTTTTTGGAATAAGCATAACGACCAGTAAGCCTCAAAAAATACCTTTACGACTTTCTTTGAGGTAGTCATAATTTGCTGAAAAAACGGACTCTTATCTAGTTCTTTTCAGCCACTTTCAGTGACTTTGTCAGAACAGAAAAATTGAACATCATAAATTGATCCAATACTTTTTCCTGAACAAAAGGCACACGACATAAATAAATTCAACCACATCGTTCATTCATAATTGCTAAAAAATAGTTTTGCGTGGTTGGTTGTAAGATAATAATTTTTGGTACTCAGTTTGTAATATTTAAGTTATCTCGAAGATGAATATATTTATGTGTGCTGTTTTTCAGAAAATTTTTCTATCATTTTTGTTTTTCAATTCAATTTTTTGTTGTTCCGACGAAAATACTAAAAGTGGCTGGAAAGAATTATAGAGTAGGTTCCGTTTTTTCAGCAATTTATGACTATCTCAAAAAAGGTCATAGGTGATACGTTGGGTATTTTTTGAGGCTTGATGGTTGTTATTGTGATTCCAAAAAAATCAAGTGATGTTTCGAAAACCTGGCTCGACTTTTTTGTTTTTCGGACAAAGTTAGGACGAAATTTGATTCCTGAGTAATATTCTACTGCAATTTTAACGTTCACTATTTCATCAACTATAGTAACAGCACTTTCACAACTAGCGATACAACATTTACATATCAATACGAGCTTTCTGATAAAAAAAGAAACAAAGCCCTAAGGTTGAAAAAATATATATTTCAAAAGATGTCGACATAACCTTAACTAACAAAACTTCATACATTTGTCTCAAATGGACGTCTATTTGAGGAGAGTACGTCTATAAACACAATCACCGGTGTTATATAGGCATTCAGAAACATTTAACGGGCGACAATTAAACAAAAAAAATGCTTTGTCAAAATCTCATTGAGCAGGAAATAAAACTGCTGAAATTTTAACAAAGTTTACTACAGCGATATAACAATAGCCAAAATCACTGCGGCCGAATAAAGCTTAGAAGCAAAAAACAAAACAAAAAACGCAACTTTACGATACACATGCTAAAACGCAACTTTACAATGCACACTTCATTTACAAGAAAAACAACAAGAAAACCAAGCCTTAAAATATACTCAAAAACGATAGGCCGACCGATATTTTTTTGTAACGGAAAATTTTCGGTGTGAGAAAAATAGGCACTTGCCGGAATCGAACCAAGAAAACTTGCTGCCATCGGTAGAGCTTTTTTAAGAGAAAAAAGAGTCAATGAAGAACTTAGCCGATAGAGAGTTGGAAAAGTGTAAAACTTGAAACGTTTGAGCAACCTCATGAAGAAAAATTATCAAAGTCTTTTTTTAATTTCAAAAACTGCTTATGAGTGGCAATTTTTCTTAAATTACCATTTCAAGAAAACTGGATCATTAGGTATTTCTAAATTCCTCTGGGAACTCAGAAAATCAAGTCTTCGTGAACATTACATTTTTTCTCTTCGATAGTTGAGTTTGCCTTCCTTTTAACAAAATTGAAACGAAATCAAAAATCGAAACAAAAAAGATCACATTAAAAATACGCCAATGAAGGAAATGAAAAATACACAAAATTTCCGGCATAAAGAACCACACACCTGAATCTTTTCCACAACTCGTTGCCAGATTCCTTCAAAGATGAAACAGTCAAGTCAAATTGCAAAAAAAAACTTTCTGGAAAGTATAATTTTTTTGGAAAATTGTTTGACTTACATCGAAAACAATACGTCATACCATCAACTTAAAGCGATTTTAAAGTAAATACACACCAAACTAATTTATCTCAAAATAATTCTGTGCAATTCTGTAACAAAAAAAACATACTCAACTAACAGTTGGAAAAGAGTAATCAAGGCTGGCAAACAGAACCAAAACCTGACATAATTTTGAAAAACTTCAACTTTTGAATTCTTAAAACATATAAATTAGGCTTAAAACTCTTTCACTTTCAAGAGCAACTTATAACACAGAGGCAAAGTTTCGCTTCGCGAACACCAGCGAGAACACGACAAAAAGCAGTTCTATAAAGTGCAATAGGAAAAAGTTGAATTGCCTCGAATTAGTAAACATTCGGCTACATCTCGGATTCAAACCTACTACCTACTGTGACCTAGAAATTATGAGTCTCACGCACTAAACACTCAGCCACGGACGCTGATTTAATACCAAACACTAGCCACACAAAACAGAACAGATGCTAAGCAATTTCCGATGCCACAGTGAAATTTCCTTAACAGTGAAGTCCTTTTACTTGCGAGTTAGATTAGAAAAAAAAACAAATCTAACTCTAACTCGAAAAAAAACTCGCTAGTGTTATTAGTGCCTTTTTTGATAAAATTAACCCAATTTGAGAATACTGGGTCCATAGGTAAGTTTTTAATTCTGCTCGAAAATCTGAACATTAAAATCTTTTTCCAAAAGAAGAAGTCGATCACGTTTTTTGTGATCGTTACACTTTTGCTGTTTAACTTTCGGGGTTCGCCTTCCTTTAGCCAAAGGAAATGAACTGAACTTAAAAAAATCGGAAGTCAAACCGCGAAAAATCAAAATTGAGTGTGAACAAATTTTAATACTTTTTACTGAAAAAAAATCATCAAGACCTTTATAGAAGTGCTCAATACGTTCATTACTCTTAATCAAAAACCATGCATCCAAAAAATTTATCGCAAAAAAAATTTAACAGAAAAATTCAAAAAACTTTTGTTTCTGTCAGAAAATTGAAGCGGGTATTAAAACCATAAAACCATGAACTATATTTATCCTATCAAAATGATGAAAATATTAAAAACATAGGCAATCGAAGATTGGAAAAGAGCAATGAACGCAAGTAAACATTAAAAAACACCGACTTTCCTAAAAATCTCAACTTTTGAATTTCAAAGAAAAAAATAGATGCCCTTTGAGCTCTTTGAACTTCTAGAACGATTTATGACTGGCGCTTTTTTGATAATTTTGACCCAACTTGAGAAAACTGGATCAACTGGTAAAATCCACTTTCGAAACTAGAAATTGTTCGCGAATTTTTGCGCCATTTGCACGTTCGTATTTGGAGAGTGTTATTTGCGTCCCTTTCAGCAGATGAATTTCAATTGAACTCAAAAAGTGAATCAATATTTTAAGACTATTTCCTAAAAAAAACAAAAAAAATCAGCAAGACTTATATAAGAGTCTTCGCTACGTTCATTACTCTTAAAAAATCTACCACAAAGTTAGAAACAAAATACCCAGTGAAAAAAAAACGATAAAAATTGATACGAAATCAACGAAGCCGACAAAAAAATTTATCTTATGATTTTTTTTCAGCTGTAGACCCAGTATCACTTCAATAGCTGTAGACCAGCTCTAAACGTGCAACTTGGTTTGAAATGGAGATCCTAGAATTAGAGATACTGTGAACTAAGTTAATAACGGGAAAAAAAGTTAAGTACCCGATTGCAATACCCTTGCTTATCACAAGGGTAAAGACTTTTTCCGAAAAAGAACAAAAATCATCATGGCCTCTATAAGTGACAATCATTTCGTTCTTTAACACAAAATAAGGAATTGGAATTTATGCATCAAGCTCTCAAATGATTTAAGTGATTTTGTTGAACAAGCTGTTAAGCTGAAAAAAGTCTATATTCCGATTTGATAGCGCTTGTTAATCGCAAGCGTAGTTCTTATGTCAATTCTCATCCCAAAATTATGCTTGCTTTTCGTATTTCGTTGCACGGGATGATTTGAAAGCCAGTATAAGAGTTCTTTGGGAAAACATCATTTATTGGTAGTGTGTATTACATCCAAGTTTGATAAAATAAATATCACTGAACTTTGTTAATCATTCAATGTTAATCGCTTGATCCTCAAAATGAAAACGCAGTTCAGTTACAACGAAAAAAATTCAGACGCACTATAAGAAGACAATAATCGATGGATTTGACACTGGAGAAATAACTTAATATAGCCAGCCATTAGCTGTAAAATTCAAATCAGCAATCACTTTTCGAACAGATGTTAGCAAATAAGATTTAGAACACATAGGAAAACGAACCACAAGTCAACAGCTATAATGAGGAAAAGAGTTAAAACGAGAAGTAAAACAGAAACATAATGAGTTCAAGGTTTGCAGCCTAACTTATTAAGGAGACTCGTATTGCCCTATTCATAGTAGAATATCAAGTTGTTTATTTTCTTCATCTGGGCCCTCTCAGTATCGGTTTCCTCGGAAGAACCCGCGACCTCTTTGCTGTCCAAATCCACCACCTCTTCCTCCTCTGCCGCCCCTTCCTGAAAAAAGTTCATCTTCATTTAGCAACATTGGACGATAAAACCTGATATCACAAATGCAATATTTTGCCTTGGGATAACAATATAATTTACCCTGATAGGATCTCTTTAATCTCAATTTGGTGTTCCTGCTGACCGACGATAACTTTTTTATCTTAGCTTGATCGTTTGTATAATCGTTAATTTAGTAAATTCGCATAATAGAAACAGAAGCCGTTTGAACCCAGAAAAAAATCATCGAGCCGAGTCCAGCTTATATCTAGTTCCCAATTACAAGACACTTGTTTTCGCAAGTGTAATTAACAAAACCTCAGATCATCAATCCCGTGTGCTCACCTTGTCCATACAGCTGTCGTGGCAACTTAGCAGCGTTCACGCCATTAGAAGCCCCAACATCCTTTCCACCCGCTGGCCCAGTGATAGGCGTGTGTCTCTTCTGAGCCTGTTTTGCCTCTGGTTCAGCTAGTGTGGCTGGCTGGGCTGTTTTGAAGGAGAGAGTAACTTGGGCAGTATGATGAGGGGGAATTCTAAAGAGGTCTTTGATTATGGCGCTAATGTTACTGCACGCCAACAACATTTCTTTTTTAGCTGCCAACTGAAACAAAAATGGATAAAATTTAAGGCCAAAAATGCAACTCCTCTTGTTTTGGACTATCGTTTCTAGACATATCGTTAGATAATTTAGAGTTTCTGCTAACTGCTCATTCAATACTTTGATGTTGAAACTGTAACGCAAAATATTTATGCCTGGCGAATTATCTCACACTAAAAAACGTTTCACAATGAATTGAGACAAGCTAATCGGTCGTATTAATTCCGCACGACTCAATTTTCACACTTGTTTGATCTTCTCCGAAATTTAGGGTTTTTCAATATTTTCTTTACCAAAAACGATAAACGATTCGACAGCGATTACGGGGCAATCGGAAAACTCAGTGCTTTGACCTTATATACAGCAGTCTTGTTTCGCTATATTAAAGTATTACAGATTTTAAGGAGCATTATAGTTCAAAAAAGCAATGAACTGATTAAAAAAAAAGACAAAATTTCTTTCAAAATTGCTTTCAAAGTCTGGTTCGTCGTCACACTCAACACTACAAAAAAATGGTCCAAGTTTTGATGCATTAATGGTCGATTTGGCTTCATTTTTTTGTAACCTCGTCTGAATCTGGATCCAGTTTCAACTTCAGAGCCTCATTGAGCTTCTTAGTTTGTGCTTGCACTCCCAGGGCGAAATATTGCAGCCTCTTTCTGAAGTCAGCCATCCTAGCCTGTGCCTCTGGGTCGGTGAAGAACTCCTTGTGAGAAGCAGATAGCAGATGAAACGAGTAGATTGCGCATTCGACCGCACACAGGTCCACTTTCGAGAAGTCGCTGAAAGCGTCATCGCCACTTCCCAGAGTTTCGGGAGGTGTTGGCATCAGGTCCTAAACAATCCGCCTTAAAGTTGAACAACGCTTAACTTCAATCGGCAGCCAGTCTTCTATAAATCTTTAATATTTCCTTCGAACAAGTACTTGGCAGTTGTAAAAACTGCTTGAGAAAAAAGATCCTTCATAAAATTTAACCTGATATGGTTATATCGTCGTTCCAGTTATTTTCATTAGAGAAAAAAATTTCAGTCTCAAGTGAAAAACTAGTTAAGAATACCAATGAATCGAGAAAAGGAACCGTGATACAATGTTTTGATAGAACAAACTAACCAGCAAGACCTGGAACAGGTACTGAATAGTGACTAGAGATACTTGATCGGTTCCCGAATGGGTACTCAATTCAGCTAGCAACTTTAGCATATGTGATTTTGATGGCAGACCCTTCGGTGTGTCGTCTGATTGGGCGTATTTCTTCATGGCAGCTGGAAGAACTTTTTCGCACATGCAAATAGCGAATTTCTGAGAGCTAACGTTTTTGCTGAAGAAAGGAACTCCTTGCTCGCAGCACATGTAGAAAGACATTATTGCTTTGTTAGCTTCGAAAGCTTTCGCATCCGAGTTAATTCCTGCCTTGGTTTCGATAACCTCGATCAGTTGCTGACGAACAGTTAGCAGCTTCATTGATTTCAAAACAGACAGGATTCCAAGAAGGCCAGCAAAGGTGCATGCATCAGCTTTTGCCATTAGCTAAAAATTAATAATTAATTACTTTACCTTCAAAACTTTTTTAAATATATGTTATTCAAAATCTTACTCCTTTGACAGTTGTAACGATATATTTTTCGGTTTCTGCGCTCAACTCTTTTTCAGTAAGGGTTGCAAGCTTAGTCGAAACGAATTTGCATGTCTTCTCGCGGACTGAAGAATCATCGCTATCAGAGGGGTTCGCAAGTTGTTGAAAAACGCCCATAAGACATTCTAAGCAAAATAAACAGGACTGGTTTATAGAGAAGCAATGGCTCCGAGTTTAACTCGATTACAACTAACCTTTAGGATTAGCTTTCAAAAGCTGGAAGAGTGAACCTTGAACCACTACTAATTCTACATTGTCATCTGTAGTAAGCAGTTGACCCAAGATATCCGCAATTTTTGAGACATTATTTGGATTGTCCTTGCAGAAATTTGGGAGCTCTTTGATTGCATACCGCCTGATCTAAATGCGCAAAAATATTTTAAAAAACAACTCAAGCAGATTTGTAAAACATGCGTAATAAACAAAATATCTTACCGATTGATCGTCATCTTCGCAGAGATCAAGCTGAGCATCAATTGCTTCGCTTTCCAACGCTGGAAACTTCTTGTAGAATCTTACAATGAACTGACAAGCTAGCTGTTTCACCTTCGTGTCACCTTTAACCGCAGCCAAGATTTCTTTGAACGCCGTCTGAAGCTGGAAAATAAAGATAAGTATTTAAACATTCTTGCTCGAAGCATAAAGTATGAGTAGCAATTACCTCGGCTTCAGATCCTTTGTTTTTGCTCAAGACTTCATAATTGGCGTACAGTTTTTCCACTGAGGCGACCATTGTTGATTCTGAAATTTGAATTCTTGGCTATTTGCTTAGATAGTTAAAACAGCATGCCTTTTCCATTATAGCTCTCCAGCAAAATAAAGCCCCACATTCACGTCAAATCACAGAGAAAGGAAACATAAGCATTTTAATTGCGAGATGAGATTTTTCATTGAGGTGAAGCTGAGCTTCGCACCACTTGAGATACAACTTTTTTTAAAAACATTTTTTTAAACAATTAATCAGAAGGTCGAAATTATCATAGTAACAGAGGTTACAGTCAGGAGTCCCTTCATCCTTATATCCAGTCAAAATCCTCTTCTAGATATGGAAGAGTAAAGCATAATGTGGATAGAAGTAAAGATACTCAGATGGTTGGAATCAAGCCAACCAGATTGAGAAAACTAACAGTTGCACAAAATAAACCGGAGTTGAAAGTGACTCAAAAAGACTGACCTGATATGAGGTTACGGGTCTATCATATCATTATATAAAGCTGCGCTTTCGTTCCCTTGGCTCCATAAATAAAAAAAACTCTTCGAAATTAGTTTTATCATTAATATTGCCGAGTACACAGGCAGCAATCCAACCTGTATTGCGAGGAAGATTATCTACTGAAGAAAACTACCTGCCCTGGATTCCTCGGTACAGGTGCACAAGTTCTTACAAAGCTTATTCAGAAAAATCTCAGTGCTAGGGCCGGCGGCACTCTGAACTTCAAAAGCTATTGGTTGAAAAATTTATCCATCCTTAGTTAAATCTCTATAATGGTGAAATTTTCAATCTTCCGCCTCGGCCGCTGCCGTTACGGGGTGTAACATTCGCCCAAATACTACACAGCGACGGAGCGTAGAAAAAGTACCTATTAACGACTGGCAGGCATCAGTTACCTTAATCCTACTCGTTTTTCACCGTCTCGACCTTGCCAGTTGATTTTCTGGTCTGTTTAGCTCTAAGTAAAAAGTTACTATTTTTAGGCCATCAGTCAAACGACTTTTGATCAGCTTTCGTTTACATGCGAACGCAACCACATAGCTGAGTCTCGGATCCTCAGACTACGTGATTGCCATTAAAAACACGGCTCGAACAACCTATTTTAACATGTTTTTGTGTGACGGTTCTATATTAAATCCATTGGAGATGGATTGACCCTTTCCTCTTTCTAGCTACTCATATTCTAAAATATCAAATTATACCGGTGTTAATTCAGACTTCTACGACATCCAAGTAGCTACAAAGTTAGTTTTATATAGTCCCTTCACATAAAACATCTCTGGGGGACCAAGCCTCCGCTCCCGTAATCTTCCTGAGATAACGTTCTTATCTCTTCCAATTTGTGGCACGGGAGGGTTCCGTGGAACATTCCTTCCCCACTGAAGCTTCCTTCTCCACCAACTTCCGCTGCTAAGAGTCTTATCGTGTGTTGTTGCCACGATAAGAGCCTCGTGTTTTTCGTCTCTTGTGCGACCGTTTTCCACAATATTTGTCGTTGTTCTGTTTTTTCGTCGTTTTTCGTCAAAATGGCCGTCTTTTTTGTATTTCTGAGAAATATCCACAATTCAATCGAAACTTTAAAAATAAGAATTCTGGAATATTCCTACCCTCCTTCGCAATACTTTTTCGTTAATAAGGCCTTTATTCGTTTTTTTCTCGTGTAGCCGGAAGGTTGCGCTGTGCCTATCTGGCAGAATGGCACATACTATGTAACATTCGTCTATGTTACATATCCAAAAACACTATGTAACATTCGTCTACTACAGTCACACATGAGGCTTAAGAAAAATAGGCCCTATAACCACTGGCTCAAGGGTCAGGGACACTATCTCTTGTGTTTTCCCACCTCAAGAACGGTCGGAGCCAGTTCGGTTCGCTTGTGACATGAGACTACGACCCGTTACAGCTTAAAGGCTACTACTAAAATATCCCCCCACTCTAGAATTAAGAACGTCCCCATACTTAGGTCTCTAGATACCCAAAATACATGAACGCCGTTAAAAACCGGGTTGGAACAATCCGTTAGGTTACTTTTTATTAGACAGTGTAACTTTGATCCATTTCAGATGGATCAACCTAAAACTCGCCTTACCTCAACATAACAATCACAAAACACACTCTAGAAATTAAATTCGTACTCACATATCAGCGCTCTCAAGAGTTGGGAAAATAATCCAGCCAGTAACTAACTCAAGAAATAAATAACTAAAAGAAGTTCAATGTTTTATAGTTTGGACAACAAGGATAAGTTTATGCTCTAGAATTTGAGTTCTCTTGGACCGTTGGGACACTCTAGTTGTCCGCCTTTCCGCCGAAGGTTCACTCTGGTCCAGCTTTAATAATCGCTCTCTCGGGGATACTCTGTCTTCTATTTTAAGTAGGACAGCTCTACTCTCGTTCACTATGATGGAAATTGCGAATAGCAATTTCCCACTCGTTTTTATCTGACTACTTTCCCGCAATTGTTCTAAAATTGTTCTGATTTCTTTTTCTGATTTTCAGTTATCGCGAGAAAATCGTGCATGACATGTTCCATTCGAAATTTTGAAAGATTAAATTTCACTTCAAAATCAAGTATTTTCTGCTCTTCTCAAGGTCAAACTTCCAAATATGACCGACTGGCACATACTCCCCGGACTCGAGATCGATGTCCTCATCGCGCGCTGTCTTCTGCCAGTGAGTCCCAGAAAAACCGAGTGTTGCTCAAGATACAGTGCCAGTGGTCATTTACAGAAGTTTGCAGCAGATTTAAGATTATCTACACCCCAAAATTCACGACCATTTAAAATTTTCACACTATTGCTAAACAGCAATCAAAATCTGCATTTACCTGCACCTTTGAGTTTTCGCTTTTCAAGCCAATCATTTAAAAATCTCTTTTGTCCTATTCAATCAGGAAATTGTCATGCAGCATTTTGATTTATATAATAGATATAGTATATTAGTAACAATATTTGCTTTGTTAAAATTTCTTTTTCGTGAATCCAAGTTTCACTCGGATTCACACTCAAGCCCCCTTTCCCTCTCAAGACTCAAGATCCATCCGATTTGCCCATTCATCTCGTACTCTTCGCCTTGGAGGTACTGCATCCTGAAGTGCTAGATGCGGCAAACTGTCTCAACAGTTCCTCTTCATCATCGGAACTAATCACAATCTCCTCCCAAGCCTTCAGCTGTTCATAGGATCGCATCCATTCTCTCTGCTCCTGCAATCTCTTTGCTTGGTTGGGTAGTGCCTTCACCCTAGCTTCTCGGTTCAAGCAAAAGGAGTTGTGCAGGCTCAAGCTCACGTTCTTCGCCAGGTCTTCCTCTAGTATCGACTCCCTCGCTTTGGTATTGTCTCTAGACATCTTACCCACTCTCTTCCATCCCGTCGTGATCGCATTACGATGGGTTAGCAGGGGTCTCTTGAAAGCTTCCGGCCCAATCTCGGCCTGGAACTGTCGATACTCCTTTTGATGTTTTCTCATGTGATCTTTCGTTGCCCTGTACAGCCAAGACGTCAGTGTCGCCCGAAACCATGGAAAGTACCTCAAGCGACTCCATACGTGCCTGACTTCCGTCGGTATGGCGAATACTTTGCACGCAGTCTCAAACAACTCAAGTCTCCTGCTGTAGTCTATCGCGTATATTGACTCAGCCGTTGGCGTCGTCGCCTCCCGATATTTCGTTATATTCTCTTCTATCCATCTCAGAGCTAACATCGTACTCACTACTAAGAGCGTCACCTTCTGCCGGTGATCCGGTAGTCCGATCGACCGAATCTCTTCCACATCCCACACCAGACAAAGGTTCTTGTGATCTGGATACCACACCGTTTGTGCCAAACAGTGGCATGGGCATTCCCCATGAGAGATCTCAATGCTCCTGAGATTACGCTCCCCTGAGGCTTCCAAGAGAGGCTCAAGCTCCATCATCTTCTCGTGCATCGTGTCGTTGTCTTCCAGGTTCGGAGTACTTCCCACAGGTTTACCGATCACGTTTTGTCTCTCGTGATCGCTCGTGTTTTCTCTTTCCAACTTCAGAAGATCTTCTCCCCAGATTTCGCTTAAGTCATCTCTCAATTCTTTTGGTACCGTCCCTTTGATTTTTCTCAACAACTTGTGCGAGTGATGCGATATCCGAGCCAACCTCACGCACTTGGGCACTGAGAAGGCCTTGTCCACCAGTATTCTCTGGCTGGACACTTCCACCATCGTCATGTGTAGCGGGTAGTGACTTCCGCACAAGTTGGCCATCATTGACCCTATCAGCGATTTCGCGTTCAATGGCAAGCCATAAGCTTCGCTCAAGGGAAATCCCATTTCCGCCTCAAGACCAACTTTCCAGCTCCGGATGTGTTTTTGAGTCACCTGCAACACCCCGGGCCATGATTCTACGCTCAACGCCGTCACTAAATGATGCTCAGACTCCAGTCTCTCCAGTGCCTGCAGACCACACATTCTCGAGAAGAATCCGAGAGCTGTCGCTATATTCACCGTGGTTCTCGCGTAACATTCCGCTATTATTTGCACTTCACTTTTCTCCCTTTCTGTGATGTCTTCGAACCAAGTGACCAGGTCTTCTTTTTGAAACGACAGTATCCTGACGCATGACCGTCCATCGCAGATGTGCTCTCCGTTCCCACACGTCGAATCCAGACAGCTACCCGGCTCCAATTTCTTTGCTGACCCGGGGTCGCTCGTCCTTTCGCTTGGCTCTTGCATCTGGGGTGTGATTAGCTTATGTAGCACACTCAACTTCGCCAGATCTTCATCTTCCGTTGGGGCTAACCTCACTCGCTCGGTGGTTTCCTCGATTAGACTCGCATGGGGATGTGGACACCAGGAGGGTCTTAGTAGCTTCCATATCACTCCCAAGTTCGTGGTTAGCAAGCCATTTCCACCGCCCATGTTCACTTCAACTCTCTTGTTTGAGCGCGGTATGCTTATCACCTCTGGTGTTTTCTCAAGAATCAGTCCCAGGCTCGGCCCCTCTTTCTCCACCGCGTCTATCTCCATTATCCTTTCTGTCCAAAACTTCAGTAGCTCCGCTACCTC